CTCCCACTAACTTGCAAAATAATTATCACTTGACAATTCATATTAAAATGTATAAATATTTAATACAAAAGATAGTTCTGAATATTTAATAGAAAATACATCACACACAACAGCTAGTTTCTATTCTAGCACCTACATATTTTAATCTCTTAAAAAGAGCTTTTTCTAAAAGGAAATAAATTCATAAGCCGCATAAGCACTGCAGTTAAAAAAAGCTCATGCCTCACCCAAGTGTTCACAAGTGCTGACAACCAGATATGAAGACTGTAGCATAAACAAAACAATACATAAAAATTAATGTCATTTGCAGTTCACTGAAGCATTACTCACTGATGTCATCAGGAAAGACGACAGGCAGAATGGTCTCTGATCTCTATCCTGCATTGATCCAGTTCATGCCCCTGCTGTGTGAACTATTTAAACCCTTTATTTCTTTCTATGAATCAATAGAAGAAATGGTGGTATCTCTTGGAGTGTCCTGAAAGTCACTATTTCCCTATGTGTTCTTAACTAAACGGCAGTGTTAGAAGCCTTTACAAACACCTTTATTCTAAGCTTCTTAGGCATTTTAAGTACAGTTTTGTCTAACATTTGTTTCTAAGCTAACTGGACAGAAAACAAGCATTCAAATCCACTTAAAAATCACTGTTAGTGTGGCAATAAATTAAAGCTCAAATGGAAACTTTAATCAAAATCTTCAGCAAAAGATCTTCAAAAACAGAACCACCTGCAAAATCTTTCAAAAAAAAAAATCACACCGAACTTCTACAGATAATATCCTTCTGCTAGGGCAACATCAATAGTTCAGTCAATCTTTTACTTATTGTTGATCTACTCAACACACACCATACTTTTATTTACAAATCAGAAAATATAAACACATGCACACTGTCACACTTGATACTTGCCATGGCTACTACCACAAATCCAGATATTTTCCTCATAAGAGTATGGGAAAGATTCAAGGAGAAAATGACAGAATTAACTCATAGCTGATAAAATGTTTAGAAATAGAGAAAACAAGAGAGTTTCTTCCCACCTTTCATTTTTGTCAAAAGCAGCAGATTTGGTTTCATCCACACTCCTGCCTCCTGTTTTCTTCTTCTTCTCCCTCTTTTTTCTGCTAAGCAGTTCATCCTTGATGTAGAAAGAACTACGGTTACAGGTTATCATTAACATGTAAACCACAAATGTTACTGGGACTCTTCTGTGAAGGGTAAACATTAGAGTAGCATTTATGCAAATGCATCTAGGGGTCCTACATGATTAAGTAAAATGATCTATCTTAACAATAACTGTTGCCATGGTATCCAGTCTTTAAACACACATGAAGTCCAGTTCTGTCAGTCATGTGTATCTCCATAGCAATCAAAGTTTTCTAAGAGGAGAAAGCATTCAACTTGCCTCCTTTCTAATTCATCAACTTTAACAATGCAGTGGAAAAATAATAATAAAAAAAAGTAAATGTTAATATATGATTTTTTCAAGTTATACTTAGTATTTTTAGTCTAAATGCAAGACTTTTACATACCAAAAATAAGAAAGATAAAATATAATGTGGTTTTAAACGGCTTACCGATATCTATCCTGTTAACAAAAACCCTAAACAAAAAAGCTTTTAGATGAGAACAAAGGCAAAGCAAGTATGATTACCAGCCAAATAAAAGTGATTATTTTAAAATGATATTTAGGAAAAGCATAAAAATTACTACAATAGCATATGATTCTGCTTTAGCATATGATTCTGCTTCAACACATGACAGAAGAGTATTTAGCCCTCTTCTTTCAACTAAAAGCCAAGAGCTATCTCTTGCTATTTATTATCAATTCTAGGAAACGGATGAAGTAGTTTTTAGACTACTACTTTGGATTTGCTGAATATCTTATTCTATAATTATTATCATTTTAAATGTAATCGTTTTAAAATATGAAAAATCCAAATTCCAAAGAAGGGAGGCAGTAGAGATCCCCATAACATGCCAACTTCTGCCGGAAACTCAATAGCAATAATTGAAGCAAGTTTGATTTATTAGCAATACTTACCAGCTGTTTTTCCAGGTAGATTGACCAAACCACAGCATAATGACCCACTGTGAGTATAATGAACAGGAGTAATGCCAGCTCAGCATTGCTCATTTTTCTCACCCGCCTGTAGTAGAATACAGGCTGTCGCCAATCTGGTAGACCATTGATCAGAATATCATCATACCTACGGCAGCAAATACAACAGACTTTCATGGAGAGCTTAAAATTAAATAAGCCAAAGCACCTAATTACAAAGCAAACAACATCCACAGACTGTTGGAATAATTTACAAACACTTACATACAGGCAATCGTTTAGCATTTTTTAGAAAGCAGCATAACATCCTTTGTCAAATGCTAAGCTTGGATCTGGAATTTGAAGCCTCATGTTGTGGAAATTTATCTAGTCTCATGCAGAAAAAATAGTTATCTCAATTGCTCCTGCAGCATCCCAGCTGATTCACTTAGGAAATAACGGAGTGGTAGAAACGTGCACGTGCCCTCCCTGCCTATCAGTGGCCAGGTCTCCACCACAGAAGCGAATAACAAAACACATTTAACACAAAGCAGCAAAGAACAACAAGCCCCAACTACTATAAACCTTTTTTTTTTTTTCTTTTCGCAATTTAAAGCACAAGTGCTAGGGAGAGGGAAAAGTTTTTGTTTTGTTCTCTAGAAGCACTATATCTATTAGGAAAAACGATGGCAGAATTAATATATATTTTCTAGTCAGATATGAAATTAAGTTAAAGTTTGATTATAATGTTACAAAACGAGATTCACCACAGCTATTTTGATTTTCTATTTGAAAAGCTGCTTCCAAAATCAATCTATTTTAATACTGCTTGAATATACTAAAATTACTCTCTGTATAAAAAGCATTTTTACAAGCATATGCAAGTTTTCCCCAACACAAACTTCTTGAAATATCTTAGCACGTCCATAGTATCAACTTTTATTTACAGAACACTGTCATCAACCAAAAAAAAAAAAAAGAAAGAAAGAAAGAAAAAACTTACCTCCATAGTAGCTAAGTTTTAAAACTAGTGTTTCAATCAAATCTATAAAGTAAACTGAATAAACCTGTATGTTCTAAGACACACAACCTGTTCACTTAAACTGAACACGACTCATTACATATTCTAATCACACCATTTCCAGAATTAAATCTGCACTGAAAGGCCTAATTTGGTGCAACACATTGACCAAAATATTTTAATTAAAAATATTCTGAGTTAGTCGCAGGCCTAATTACAGGAATAGAAATAGGGCCTATATTGTCATGCAGGTCAGTAGAACTCAGTAGTAGGTTTTTCTCAAGTAAATTGACCGATCCAGGAATAATAGCGCAGCTGCTAAACTGCCAGTCTTGACATGTAAATCAATTTAAATGCAACAACTGCACTAGCTACTTTGATAGTTATTAAATTGATACCTTGGAGATGCACTAAAAAAAAAAAATCCACAATCAAATTCATTTTTAGGCAGAAAAAGAGAAAGTCTCTGTAGGCAAATAAAGAATACACTTTAACACCTCTGGAAAACCTGACTTCTGATATAACATTCATTCAAGTTGGTGAATGTAGATAGATTATTTCTAGACTAAAGATTTAATACTACAAGTCTATTATCCACTAGTGTAAGTTTCCATATAATAAATTTTCCTTTTCCAATAAGTCAGAATGAAGCTACTACTGTATGAAGAACTTCTGATGCCTTAACACAAGCTATCTGCACAGAAAAATTGCTTAGAATTCATGTTATTTCAGAATGAGAATTTTTACTTAACTATTTTTTCTGTGTTAAGTTTCAGGAACAGGAAAATACAAGTATTACTATTTAATCAAAAAACACTGTATTTTCTGACTATTTTAGGATTAGAATACAAAAAAAAATAGAAACCAAACCACTTTAATAAATTATGTTAATAATAAGATTTCACAAAAGATGCAGTTTTTTGATGGAGACTTCAGGGAAATACATGTGGAATACCAGGAAAGAATAATTTTCTATGGTATTACTACCAATTTATTAGTTATTCATCTTTCTTGCACAATAAGGAATGTTAGCCAAGATGCTGCAAATTTGTCTACTGGTTAAATAAGCTCCATGTATCCCAATGGAAAAACTTTGTAATACTTAAAAAAAAGATTGGAAAAGAAATGTTTGGCAAGCATCATCTATTATAAATTACCTTTTAAGAAAAAATAAATTAAGATAGCAGAATCTCTTGCATTAAACGCTTTAAACAGCCCTCTGTATTTACTAGGCTATGTCTGCGGTTCCGAACAAGAGTCTCCAAGGATTAAGTCTCAGAATCAATGCTCTATTGATTTTACTATCAATGAGCATTATGGCTCACACGACTGGCCATTTTAAGAGAAGATAGCTTCTATTATAACCCACTTTTTAGAATATATACTGTTAAAAGATAAATCACTGCTTTCAACAGTAATTAAGCTCCGTATTTGAAAAATAAAGATAGCAATGATTTTTAGTTTTTGCAATGGAAAATGATCCTTCTGAAACTCAGAAGCTTCTCATAATTTTTAAATCTCGATTTCCACATTTAGGATGTGTTAAATAAAAGTACACATTTTTCTCATTAAATAATTTTTAATAGAAATCTCTATTAACTACTAAGGCTAGTCAGTTAATCCATATGCAGCAAGATATATACATTCAATATTTAATTATAAAGCCTTCTTCCAACTTATTTTAATTGCTACTCTCTCTCTCTCTCTATATATATATATAACTGAGAAGGAAACATAAATCTATAGCATTTTTTCTTAGTAGTACATTGAATGCAGCAAATATTTGTCATATGCATGTGCCTAGCAGTGGTCTCTGAAACGCAGCAGTTCACAAGCTAAGCCCCCGCAAAGAACCTATTCAGAAACAAAAAAAACAAACATTTATATTATTTGTTTGTTTGAAATATTCAGGGTATTACACACGGCTAGTTAGCAACCTGTTACAAGAGTATTAAAATTTCAATCGTCTGTGAAGTTCCATAACACAGTTTTAGAATTCTTTGTAGAATCTATGATATTGCAAAAAAATCCATTAACTGAAGCAGCTAATTACAGTATAACCTTTTTTAATAGAATTTACTTTTCCCTTTAAGAAGGCCCCTGCATTTCATATTTCACATTATTTCAGAGATCTGATACAGTTTATAAAAGATGTCAAGCTTGAATTAATGAGATCTATTCTGAACTAGGGGAAGACCTTGCTGGTGTTTTTTTATTTTTCCTCAAGCCATCAAAGCTTCCTATATCCTACGAATGCAGTCATTTAATTATAATGATAGCTAGATAAACACCTTTCTTACACTAAACAAGCATATCTTGATTCATTTGCAAATGCTTCCTGTAATCAACTCCACATTGTTAGAGAGGACAGAGCCCGGTAGGTAAAACGCTCCTTAAAGGCTACAAACAATGCTGTTAAAGTCTAAAATGCTTTGCCTAACTGAAATTAAGAAAATGAGGGGGGGAAAAAAGAAAATCTACTTTTTCATAAATTAATCAAAAGGTAACAAAATATATCAAGTTTATTTGCCAATAAATATCTTAAAAAGCAGTGTGTATTTCAGGAACTGTACCTATCTCTACATACCCTGGAGATAACCAGGGGTGTAACATGGTAATATTAGTTTACTTCATGATTGCTCAGTGTTGACGAGCCCAAGAGATATCAAGGGTGCCCTACAGTTTCTCCTCTGTGCACAGGGAGAATAGTAAATTTTGAGCCAGGTTCATCGCCTCGTGCAATGCACTTTCAGCCTTGCATAACCAAATATCTCATTTTCAGCATCCAAAATAGGAAGATCCCAGCACAAAACCCCTCACTGTCTCCTTTCCCCTGCCGTAGGGTTGCAAGCAATACTGGAGGAGAAACATTCCTAGGAGGGGAGTAGCTCCTAGCATGCTAGTTAAGGGCATGACATAGCAATGTCTTACAGGACAGGGAAACAACCCCCCTGTCTTTTCACACATAGAGTTTATAAGTTTCAACTGAATAATAAATTTGCTCAATAAAGATTTTCTGAAAGAGACGAGACTACGCAGTTGCTCTGCTCTACACACGGCAACACGGTTTAATTGACTATGAAAGCTATATGAGACACACTTTCATACTGTGCAAGAAAAATACAACCGATACTATCTCTGTGTACACACACGCACACATATATATATATAAAGCTATTGAGAGTGAAATCAACCAGACTACAACAACTTACTGTAGATTTAATTTCCCATTTGCAAATTGTGGTGTTACACTAATTAACAGTATTATTTTCTCGACCAGACTGGCTAAAGGTTAGTAACTTTCACAATGTACAGAAGACTTAAAAACACAATTTTAACAAGCTTCTGCATCTCAATGGAAAAAAAAAAGGTAATATATTATAGAGGTAATTCCCACAAGCTCCATGATGGAACTAATATCCAGAGAGGTGAAATCACAACGTATATTTTAAAAAAGGTTACAAACAAAAAGATGGGCAAATCTATGGTATAAATCACTTTTTAAGTGGTCTGAACCCATTTAGCTAACAACATTTTAACTTTCTTTGAGGAGAGTAGAAACCACACTAAAATTCTCTAGTGAGAGGTATAATTAAAAACAAAACAAGACACAAATTTCCAAAAGCACTTCTTCTAAGTACATTTCCATGACACTTCAACAGAGGATTATCAAAATGTAGATAATCTGTACTATAAAACCTGGACTCCGGCCAAGACATCTCCAAAGCCAAAAACCCTTCAAGAAATGTCTTGTGAAAGACTTGTAAGGTAGAAGATGTTTTAATGAAACTCCAATCTAAAAGCATAGCTTCTTTTGCTATGGCCCAGTTACCCTGGTAAACATTAATTTAAATGAACATCCTAAATATGTATATATATACATGTATATATATGCATACACACACACACACACTTCAAGAAAGCGGATCAACCGTAGATTTTTATTTCTTAATTCTATCTCCTTCAGCTATTGCTGAATATGCTCCTGATGCTGCCAGGGCAACTATCAATTATTAACAACACATTGCTATCTGGATACTACTAAACCAGACTACAATATTATAGATGTCTTTGAAAGAAAACAACAACAAAAAAGCAGAAAAAAATATTAAAGGTGGCATACACTGGAAAAAAATGTAAATAACACAAAAAGAACCTTTTATTGATATACTGATATATGACAGACAGCTGAATCTGAGTGGACTATATTTACACGAAGAGTATTAAAAAATAAAATAAAATAAAATAAAAATAAATCAGTGATAATTAGCAGGACTAACAAACAGAAAAAAAAAATCAAGTGATATTATACTTAGGTGTTAAACATGACTTCTTCCAAATGGAAACTGGCTTTTAAAGTTCTTTCAAAACCTATTTTTAAAGAGAACTAATCCATATATGCCACAAGAACAGAAAACAGATTCTCCCTTAAGCCAGATACAAGCTTTAGTTAAACAGTTATATAAGAACAACTGAAATTATGTAAAAAATCTGTCAGGCCAAATAGTTTATCTGCAGCATACACGATTACTTTATTGAAGAACCTATGTAAATCAACTCACCTCTGCCTCCTTTCTTCATCCTTTAAAACCTCATAGATTGCCACCAACTAAATAAAAAACACAGAAAGAATAGGAAAAGGTTTACTTCAGGGTTTGAATTTTCAAAATTTGTGTACTATTGTCATATTCTACACTTACTAACAAATGTTCTTTCCTAGATTTGAGTTTTCTAAGCTCATCAAGGGGAACTGGGGGGAGGAGGAGTGTCATAAGTGTACTAGAAACCAGATATACAAGCAAGCAAGTTTTTACAAAACACATTCCGCCCCAACACACAAACATCTCAGACTCTGAGACCTGTCTCAGTTACAGCTTAAAAAGGGGCATCACATATTTCCTTTTAAAGATCTCATTAAAACTATACTACCAAAAGACTGTGCTTGGCCACCAGAAGCATCTTATTAAATGGCAGATCTAATTCTAGTAATCCCATGGCTTTGCTCTACAAAGCTTCAAGAGAGGAAAACGTTCAAGAATGAATTAATAATTTTCATTAAATTATGACCACAGTAAACAACTTGCATTGAAACCTGATCAGAAATTTTTCTCACTTCTTTCAAAAATACAACTATAAACAGTCCTCAGGAAAAGAATAAAACACACATTTTCCTCATAAGAGTATACATTTAAATATTTTAATGCATTCACATTTTAATACACAAATAGCTAGTCAAATCCAAGTTACTGAACAAGTTAAAAAGAATTTACAACTCTCTCAGAACTAACCTGGCTGTAACTCAGGATTCAACTTTTCCATCATTTTAAAGGTGCATCCTCATTTTTAATAAAGGCATATAATTATAAACAGTTCTCGTTAAAAAAAAAAAAACCCACACTTTTATTACCTTTAACTTCTATCATGTTGCACTTACCTGTCTAAATTGTATTTCTGCATTTTCATCTTTATTCTTGTCCGGATGTAAAATTAGTGAAAGTTTTCGATACGCCTTCCGAATGTCTGCAGATGAAGCATCCTAAAAACACAAACAAAGCAAAGTGTCAGAAACAAATTCCCAAAAGCTTTTTGAGATCCGAAAACAACCAGCCAAGCGCAAGAGGCAAGTCAGTGCAACCCAGAGAGTCTAAAACCAAATCCGGTCACTCGCCCGACCCATGGGACTGAACAATGCTTTAGTCCAACTCAACTCTCATCACAACTTATTATACATTCATTACAATGATATTTGCTAAAAATCTTAAACGCTTTCTTCCTTAAAAGTTAACCAATCTGGTCACTGTACCAATTAAAAGTTCAATTAAAAAGCCAGAAATATTACATATGCATGTCTTCAAGGAAGTCATAATTTCTTCAAATTATCATGCTCAATTTACCAACTCAAGACTTGCCATGAAGTGTGTCCTTATTAATATTTACACAAAAGTCAGTGCACATAGGACTTCCATTCAACTTTGGTTTCACCTTGTCTAAAGAATTTTTCTTTTAAGTATTGCATTATTGAAGTTACATTGTGGCACTAGCATCAATCTATGCCTGAAAAATGATAAAGATGGCACACATTATGAAAAGAAAAAATGCAAAAGGTAAAGTGAATAAATGACTGCCATTTAGTGCATGCTACAAAGATCATCACAACAGAAAGATGTCAAGAGGTGTATTAAACAGACCATAGGCGTTACACTCACCAGAAGATCCACAAAGCATCATTAAACACAACCTCCTGGCTTTTCTTTTCTCTTTTCCTTTTGTTTAAACAAACAGCTCCAAGGCAACATTTTACAAATAAAGTACATGTCTGTCAAGTTTAAATTCTTGGGATTTTTTAATATATATAAGTAAATATTTGCTCCTTCAAGATTATGTCAACAGGTATTAAAAAAACAACAACAAAACAAACAAAAAAATCCACCAATATCCAGAGCTGAACTAGCTGTGAGAGGAACAGAGGTGAAATAAGACAATAATTAATGTAATACTGTAATTAATCTGTCAACCTTTTTTATTGCAAATCATTATTTTCATTTGAAAATTCCACTTGCCGAACATGAGTCTATAATAACACATGCAAGTTTGGGTCAAGAGTTATATTAGAGAAAGATTTTGGAGGAGTGAAAGGCAAAAAAAAGAGAGTGACAGAAGATGCAGAGTTTGAGAACATTCAGCTATGAAATGATACTTTAAGGAACTTGGCACTATCCGCTCAGGGAAGACCAAAATTTCCCTAGGCTCTTGCCTACAGATGGAAGTCGCTTTCATTACTCAGGACAGATTGCTTTTGAAAAGACTACATGTGCATTTTTTTCAATCTTTATTTTCCAGGACCTACTTTCTACAGTATGTGCACCCAAAAGCAGAATTCCCCTGGTTAAGTACCAGCTTGTTTCCATGTAGATTACTGTCAGAGAGTCATTTCAGATAATCATGTTTTACTGATATATTTTTAATTCATGTTTAAGGAGTAGGAAGAAGCAATGTGTTTAAATATCTATTCTAACATAAAGATATATTAAACCCATTAGATGCAAATAATAGAATTAGACAAAGTGACGGAAAAAAATAAAGAAATGTTTCAAAATTAGAGATTGAGACTGTAACATCATCAAGAAATGAGTACCTCCATATCATGTATATAGGACAAACTGCAGCTTATTTCTTCTCCACCAGATTGTTTGATGTGCTTTGTATTATTTTTGGAACATAGTTAAAAACCCAATAAAACATTTTAAAGATTTGTCTGGCAATATTATTCCAAATACTTCTCACAAGGAACAAGAAAAAAAGTTAAGAGTGTTTTGAGCTATATTTGTTTCACTTAAGAGCAGCAGGGTTAGATAGATTTCTTTGGCAGCACAAGGGATAGCTCAAGCAAAGAAGAGATCTCAAGTCAACTATGAAGGAGTTACACTACTTCGTCTTGAAAAGATGGGGGGAAAGTTGCTCAATTTGGAAAAACATGCATTTTCAGTACTAGAAATAAAGATTTTGTTTGTTTTTTTGTTTGTCCACATCTACCACCCCAGATAATCCACCCAGGCTGTCAGTTAACTGAGTCTTCACAACAGGGGCAATCACTACCCAAAACACTCTGTCCTCCAAAGCGAAGTCCCAAACATTTTGTTCATTAATGTCACCTACACATAATGTTGAACATCTTCAGGAAAATTCCAGATCCTTAAGCAGCTGCCTGAATGGCATTTGATGTGCAAAAAAAAAAAAAAAAAAA